ATATGTATATTTATATGTATGATATGAATTTCCGTCCTTGTTAAATAAATGTAAGCTACGTTACTTGATCAGAAGTTTCAAATGTCTTCATATTTGAATGTCTAATAGTATATCGATTCTATTTTTAAATTAAAAAAATATGGTGATCATAATTGTCATCATTATGATCTCAACAACTAAGAAAGATGCAGAAAAATATGACGTATTAACACAATTGTTATAAAATATAGCCTCAGATGGCTATTAATTGTTGTGGTTCCAATTGCTGAAGTTAATAACTATCAAAAATAATAAGTAATAGATTCCGAGTTGCAAAAAATAAGTAATAGATTCTGAAAAAGTTACCAGATAAGATGGATTTTATCTATAAAAAATAGAATGTAATAAAAAATAAAAGGTATAAAAACTAATTAAATAAATGTTATATATGAGATGACATGGCAAGATTATGTGGCGCACTGTATGATTTTAAAAAGTTCCTCTTATATATATATTAATTTTATCTATAAAAAATAGAATGTAATAAAAAATAAAAGGTATAAAAACTAATTAAATAAATGTTATATATGATGACATGGCATGATTATGTGGCGCACTGTATGATCTTAAAAAGTTTCTCTTATATATATATATATATATATATATATACATATATATATATATATATATATATATATATATATATATATATATATATATATATATATATTAAGTGTTCATTCTATGTAATTTTTATGTTTCTAAATTCCGAATATAGAAACATAAAATATGCCCTACGAATAGTAATATAAAATAGGAAAAATTGAAAACAATAATCTCAATTATTGTCAGTCCGCTAACAATAATCTCAACTATTGTCAGTCCGCTAACAATAATACCAATTATTGATTTTTTTTGTATAATTCCAACTATATGGACCCTCCGCCAATAATGGTCCATGACCGGATATTAGGAATAAAAATTAAGAGTGAAAATTAAAATTTGGGATTATTTATAAGGATTACTCGCTATATCTCTTCTCATCCACTTTAGAAACTATGTATAGGAGTTTATTTATAGTCGGTCATATGTCGGACCATTATTGGCGGAAGGTCTCTAAAGTTGGGATTATTCTGAGATAATCGATAGTTGGGATTATTATGAGCGAACCGCCAATAGTTGGGATTATTACTAGAAATAATTACATAAATATGATCAAAATAAAGATAGTTTACAAAAATATGGCTAGTTACTAGAGTAGTAATGAAATCATAGTAATTCATGTTCAAGTTTTGAACTTAAGTTACCACAACACTACGTTGTAGTAATGAATAGTCATATTTATGTAAATAAGTTTTATTTTAGTAATATTTTTGTAAAAAACTCTTATTACTATCAATATTTCCTATAAAATATGGGAAATTAAATATTGAAGATTCCCTTATGTATTAATTAAACTTGGATTCCCTTATGTATTATGATATCCATTAATTAAACTTGGATTCTATTATAATATTGGATTCCATTAATTAAACTTTGATGTTTTTTTCCATTAATTAAACTCTGATGTTTTTTTGAAAGGACGTAGGTTTTTGGATTCCATTAATTAAGCTTTGATGTTTTATTTAAAGGACGTAGGTTTGATGTTTCTAAATCCAATTGAGGTTGCCATGATTTTGAGGTTGCCAAATTTACCAAATAAGGTGGATTTCTATATCAGCATGTAATAAAAATAGAATGTAATAATAAAATAAAAGGTGTAAAAACTAATTAAATAATTGTTATATATGATGACATGGCAGAGTTATGTGGCGCGTTGTATGCTCTTAAAGAGTTCCTCTTATATATATACCGATAGTATATATTGATTATATGTATGAAAAAACTCAATAAGATAACCAAAGAGCAAAAAAAACTTTAGAGCAAATATCAATTTAAATAAGATGCATTGTAATTCAATACTCCACGTACACAATAATGAAGCTGGAAATGCTGGAAAATTCTACTGCCTTTTACTTGTGACTATCTTTAAAGCTTTAGTTGAAAATCTTTTTTACCTCTAAAATTAAAAAATTTTCAAAGTGACGGAGGTGTGAATTTGTTTATTCTAATATGCAGCAATTTTTTCATTCTCATGAAACTTATTTTCAAAAATCTTGTCCCCACACACCTCAACAATACTCTTCACCACTAGCATATCAGAGTGGAAATCTTTTAGAGTTTGCAATACCTTTCTTCTTTCTTCACCATATTTTGACCAGCTGAAGGCAACGAATAACATCCCGCCACACACCACCAGCGGCCAAAGTAAGAGTCTACTGCTCCTATTATTTGACCTAAATTGAACAAAATAACGACTTGCAAGCAAAACATAGTAAACATAATTAAAATTCTGCTTGTAGAACAATGGAGTCCAGTCTTCAAGCATCGTATTCCAGAGCCCAGTCATGAACTTCCTCAATGGCGGTGGTTCGGGAGGAGGACAAATCGTCCACAAAACCTCTTCATCCTATATCGCCGGAGGCGGCCAAAGCAACTCCACCGATCCCCCAGTAAATGATTGGGGCCCAAACTCGCCCCCTTTAACTGGGATCCGAACAGTCAGTATTCCACCTGGATCAAACACTGTTGGTACACCTCACACCTCAATCACCATCAGCACCAAAAAAGCTAATCCAAGCATCGGAACCCTAGCCGCCGCAGATCCATGATCACCTTCGAAACCCCAGAAAGGCACTGAAACCCAATTTGAGAACAACATCTGACCCGTGACTATCTTTCTCGTCCAGCCAAGGAGTAAACACAGCAGTGTTGTACCCCTGAATCGCTGGCATCATGGATTTAAAATTTGAGTTTTGCACTTTTTTGGCTTCAAAAACTCCAACAACTAAAAAAGTTATTTTTTGTTAAAAACTTTTATATGCAATTTTGGTTTCATATAAATTATTATAAGAGTTACGAATTCCGATATGTTTTTTGTAAATTTTAGATTACAAATAAAAAATTATAACACTATTAAAAAAGAGATATGTAGTACTTTTTTTTTACATTGATCTCACTCCTGCCCATTCCTTCTGTGCACCTTTTTTGGGTCTCTCTCTCATTCTTTCCCAATGTAAGAATTTAGGAGTCTAAAGAAATCAAATTTTAACATTTTAGACACATTTGGAGTAATAAGTGAATTTAATATACAAAATTACCTATAATCCAGAACATGTTTAAATTATAAGATTTGATAGAGTATAATTCTAGAGAGAAGTGAGAGCTAGATTGAGAAAGTTCTTTATAATTAATGTTTTCTAACCTACTACAACGACCCCGAGGGATGTATTTATAGACGAAATGTAGGTTCAATTGGACTCTCAGATATTGGATTTGGGAGACCTGATTACAATAATGGGCCGTTAATAGGCTGATTACACAAAGTTATTACGTTAAGTACAAAGTAAAACTATATGTCGAAGGTCCTGACCGAGATGGCCAGGCCGAGGAAGCCTACCCGAGGGGGCTAGGCTGAGGAGACTTGTCTTTAACGAATTTGGATTCATATCTGGAGCTTTATATTTAGGAATCCTTTTGTGCAGGTGGGCCCTGTCTGGCCAAGGGGCCCAGTAAAAGGGTTCTTCAATGTTGTAGTCTAGTTCGTGTATATAGTATGTGGACCGTGGGGTCTAGACCCATATACTCTATCAACATTATTATGCATTGATGCTCGTTGTAGTGAGTGTAGTGTTCAATTTCCAAATTTGATCACAATGAGTACTTAACAAGGATTATAGTGACAATTTAATTCAATATGTCCAGACACTTTATATCTTAGTATATTTGAAGTACATCTAAAAAATATTTAACAAAAAACAAATGCCCAGAAATGTAAAGTAAAATTTTGTTACTTTTGTTTTTTACTTTTGAGATTAAAAATAAAATGAGTTCAAGTATAGTTTGATTATTTATGAAGGCATCAAAGATTAAAAAAATTTGTGTCGCGCCTTTTTTGTTTAGAAACTCTAGCCTTTGAAATTTTAGATTTAAAAAAAAATGTATGCAATTTTATGGATTTTCATATATTATTTTTTAAAATTAGAGTACAAATTAAAAAGATTCTAACACTTAAAATTGGAAATATTTTTTTTACATTGATCTCGCCTAAGTCTTAACCTTTCCTGCTCCACACATTTACTCCTTTTGTCAAATTCCTCTATTTTTAATGCCCTCAAACAAAAAATTGAAAAACAAAATTATACGAAATTTTTACGGCAAAAATTCAAGTTTTTAAATTTGTGTGGGTCAGCTTAGGTTGCCCCGAGCTCTGCCAATGTAGACACCCTCCCTCCAATTTCTTACACAATTTAGGAATTTGGAATCTAACTAGTCCCTTTTTCAGTTCCAAACCCGATTAAACATACTGGATCGGATAAGACAACACTTCCATAGTTATGAAATACACTGATAGCAGTACATTTACCAAATTAGATTAGACCAATTCAGATCAAATTTAAATAAATTAGATCAGACCACTAAGCTTCAGCCTAAGTAAAAACGTCTTTTAATATCTTTGTAGTACAACACTACTAGTAATTTTAATCCATACGTGTTGTATTGAGTGCAGTGTTCAACTTCAAAATTTGCTTACAATCAGTACTTGGCAAGGATTATAGTGCCAATTGAATCAGTAATTGAATCATATTTGTGTCTACCCACTTTGTATCTTTGTTTTCTTTTGGACCGAAAAACAATCCAAAACAAACAAAACATCCTTACTCGGTGTATTTGAAGTACATCTAAAAAGTTCTTTAACCAAAACGCATGTCGAAGCAAACTTGTAAAGTAGAAAAAACGTAAAGCAAACGCGTATTGATACGCAATAATTAGTGCCATTATCTTATTAGTAAAGCAACTCCGAATTATTTAGTTGAGAATGCGTCAAAAAAGTCCTAATAAGTCGTCATTGTTCCGTTGGACTTTAGCTGTATAACTATTCAAATCCATCTTTATTGTTCCAATTAATGAACACCGTGTAAGTCGGAACCGAATAAGTAGTGTTTTACATTAACTCAGTTGCCGTTTTATACTCTCTTTAAATATTCGTCTTTATAACAACATACTACGGTCTACGGGTATTATTATTATTGAAAGAATTATAGCAAAAACACTGGTTAACAAATAAGCCGATCATATAGTAACAAAATAAATAAATCAATAATCGTAGTAACAATCCAGAAGTATATCTACCAATTCTATCGCTAACTATGATAAACACGGATAAATGACAAAATAAATTCAAAAATAGCAACTAAATAGAAAAAGGCCGGCCAAATCAGTTGACTCAAAATAGCAAAGCCGCGGCGGCCAAAGCTGCGCCAGCAAACCCGACTCCGTTCATAACAGCACCGCTAGCAGCGGTCTCGGGAGCGCCGGCTGGACTCACACCGCCGTTGGGGGAAGACGCCGGTGAACCGCTGATGGTCGCAGGAGCCGGCGGGGAAGCAATAGGTGCCTCAGAAGCAGGCGCCACGGTAGGAGCAGCAACAGGGGAAACCGGCGGTGAAGCAGATGGGGCCAAGGTTGGTGCCGGCGGTGAGGCAACCGGTGAAGTTGTTGGTGCCGGCGGTGAAGCAACCGGTGAAGTTGTCGGCGCCACGGTTGGAGCCGGTAGACTGGCCAGTGGTGAAGCAGTGGGGGACACGGTTGGAGGGGCCACGGCCGGAGCAGGAGATCTGACCTGCGGTGAAGATGAAGGAGCGAGAGTTGGAGCGACGGCCGGCACTGCAGATCTCGACGGCGTTGGAACGGGAACCCTCACCGTAGGCGCCCGGACAGGGGAAACAACAGATCTGGACGGGGAAAGAGCCGGCGCGGCTGATGGAGACTGAGCTAAGGTAGATCCAACCACAAACAATGCAATTAAAGCCAAAACTGCCCTAAATTGAGCCATATTAACAGCAAAAAACGAACTGTAATTGCACAAATAGAAGAAAAGTAGTAGAAGTGGTAGAGAAGGATTCTGGGAGGAAGAGAGCTTTGGGTATTCCAATCGTCCGGAGAAGCGTGTATTTATAGGTAGCAAGATATTAGGGGTGTATTGGGAATTTCGGCTCATAAGTCCGTTGTGAACAATTCTACTAACGTTCACTTACACGCATGGCCCACACGGCAAAATTTTGGGGGGTGTTTTTTAATGGGCGGATGGGCCCAACGCGGCAACAGCTTTGTTATTGGACTTATGTCACCCACGCTTGGCTTAATTTGTGCGGTCAATTTTATACCGTGGTACATATTGAAAGGTCCTTCATGTACACGTCTATGTAACATAATACATCTAAAAATATGTGCTGTGTGACATCAATAAAAAGATACTACCCCCGCTCTCACTTTATACTTCCTCTGTCCCTAAATGTTGTTCCAACTTTCCTTTTTGGGATGTCCCAAAAAGAAGTTCACTTTCCCTTTTTGGCAAAGAATTTGTGGTTCACAGCATTTCTCTCTCCTCTGCACAACTCTCCACTACACAATTCCCACTTTCTTAATCACCGTGCCACTTTAATTTGGAACAACAATAAGGGACGGAGGGAGTATGTCTCATTTTGACTTAACACGATTATTAATGAAATGAATGAAAAAGTAAAATTTATGGTAAATGTTGAATATAATAAAGTGAGATGGGACAAGTCACATTTTTTCCAAAAGATGAAAGGAGGCTCTTATTTTGGGACAATCTAAAAAGAAAAGTATGAGAGGTAAAATGAGACGTATGGAGTATTTGTAATGTCGACACCTTTTTTTTTACAAATTTTGTAGCAATCACTGTAAATTGCAACCATGTATACATAATATACATCTACTGGAATTGGATCCGTTCTAATATACTACTCCCTCCGTCCGGCTAAGATTGTCCCAGACACTACTCAGTTGGTCAATACAAATCACTCTTAATCTTTTACTTTATATATCAATATTTTTTATCAAATTTGATTCAGGTTTTTACGACTTTATAAAGTTTTTAATGTAGTTTCTGAATATGTAACTTTTTTCTTAAAAATAATTTGATTGCGAACAGAGATCTGTTTGCTTTATCGTCGGTCAAGCATCGTAAACCGAATTATCTCAAACATAGTGGGACGGAGGTAGTAGTAAAATAATGAAGAAAACCTTATTGTTGTTATTATTATTATACGGATACACACATATATATATAGTGGCCGGATTGAATGATGGTTATTTATTTCGAGATCGAGAATAGACGTGCGGTAAGGCGTCAATGGCAAGCCTGAAGCCTCATACGTTTGAAATCTAGGCGAGAATAAGTAAAGCTAGATATGAATAAACATTTGAATGTTTATTCATTGTTTATTCATAGTTACTATTTTATAGTGATATACGAAGAAGAAAGGAAATAATTATCCAACAAATATTATACAATATCGAGCCAGATTTGACTTCATTCAATATATAATTTTGAATATATAGAAAATGTAAATACCAGAGTGATATGTTGTTGGTTTTTACTACTATGTGTTAGATTACATATATAACATGCTTATAAGAGTGATTTTTTTTAATTTAATCAACTATTCCTTAATTATTTAAAAAACTACCGCGTTATCTCGCGGCGCGCCTATGCTTACGCTTTGGTAGTCAAATCTTCGATTGACCGTCTTTTGCACGACTTTCTACTATGCAGAGTGTTTTCCAATCATCCCACGTCTAGGCGCGTCTAGGCTCATGTCTTTTGACGCATTTAGAACACTTTCTATCACACTTTGTATGTATAAGTCTTAAGATTCATCCTAAAATGTCAACGTGATAGAAGGAGTAGTTTAAACCTTTATATGTCGTTGGTATTTTTTCGTAAAATGTGTGTTCATTATTAAGGGTTACTAGTATTTAAGTGCTCATTGGAGTTTAATTTACTCTGATGTCATATTAATCTTTTCATCCTAGTTAAAAAGATCAAAATGATAGGAGAAATAGTTCAAAACTTTATATATTTGCTAGTATTGTTAGAAACACTTCTTTAGCAGAAGAAATACAAGAACAACTATAACAATCAGGGGTGGAGCCAGGGGTAAGGGTGGTCAGCTGACCCTACTGAAAGTTTGAGAGTATAGAACTCTAAAATATCTTCGATTTGATATATTATGGCCCCGTAACTCATTACGAGTAAAAAGTTATGACTTCTGGAAACTCAGCATTATCTAATAATAACGTATAATTAACTCACTACTTATGTGACATGATTCAAAAACAGACCAAAGACCATCTATTTTATTGCTACGAGTGCATATTTATCTAAATTACAAATAAAAGATTCAACTCGGATATTGTCTAAAAATAATCTACCATTTTCATTTTGTACGTGGTTGATTTTCGACCCCTCTGAGCCGTTTTTCTGGCTCTAACACTGATAACAATTGATCTAATACTTTCAAGACTTTCATCTTGTCAAACTATTGAGCATAACATATATTAATACATGGATCCATAGTCATAATCGCAGGAGGAATGAAACACGATAAATGACGTCTTGCTCTTTCTCAATTGAAACGTTTGATGCCTTAGTCTCTAATGGAGAAAAGAGAACATGAATAATATGATTCAATATTTTTGGGGACTACAGTTCTTATATAGTGCACTAGACCTAACTATAGTTCTTATTAACTCCTAAAAGGTAACACTGCCTCTAGCCACTTAAGCTCATATGGTTTATTTTTAGTACTCTATACTTTATAGGCTTATATAATTTGACCACATAACCACATTTATTATAAATAGCTAATAAAAAACTATGGTACAATATGAATCCATATTATACTGTTATACGCAATAAGATGTTAATGAAATTGGAACTCGTGCTGTATTTTCTTTATACACTTTATGCCTTTTGCTTTCTGGAGCTTTCTAGAGTATACTTCACTAGTACACCACACCTACCCAATATCAAGTATGTTTCGAGGATTTAATTATTTCCATTGATGTGTTTAATCGAGTCTAAACTGAACTGGTTTAAGTAAAATATCTGATATACATTTACGTTATTATTGTTTGATCTAAATCTGAAATTGAAATGAATGCAAGTAAAAACATCTTAAATAAGCAAAAGTTAACTAAAAAATAAACCCATGAAAAAATGAAATCCATTTTTCTATCAAAACAAATAGTACAAGTTTATTCTTGAACCAAATATTTGGCCCTTACAATTTTGCAAATTGGTATTGCAAACTTTCTCTTAATTGTCATATACTTGGGATCAATCATCTAAAATTTTAATTCATGGCCTGTTTTCTTGAAAATGCGAGGCTCGACCATGATAACTGATAAGTTAACAAGACCAATAAATAATCACTGACTAGATTAAGAAAGGGTTTGTAATTGCTTCTAATTTAAAAAAATGATTGTTTAAAGTGATTCTCATGAAATGATATTTATTGATACGTATAGTAAGAATTAATATTGTTTGAGAAAAATGTGTTGAAAAAAGTAAAACTTGACGGTGTTTGGTAAAATACTTATTATGTAATAGAAAAATTGAAAAATAGTTTGAAACGTTCATACACATGCTTCTAGTTTTTAGCTTCTAAATGCTCAATTCGAGCAGAAAGTGTCACTCTAAAACACATATTTGAGCCTTTTAAGTTAAAAACTGGAAAGCAGTTTCTTAAGCTTTTGGAAACACTGTGAGTTTAAAAGTTTAAAGTAGACCATATTCATTGATTATTTCTCTAAAACGCGGTCCTCTCCTTCTTTATTAGGGTTTTTGTGTATCCCTTCTGTTTCGTCTTCTTAGGCGAAAATATGGCGAGGCTAGGTAGAAGGCGGTCTTTAAACCCGTGGTCAAGCACTTATACATCTTGGGTTGAGAGAGGCAGCCTGGGCAGGAGTTATGAAGGCCATCCATTGACAAGTACGACAACATGGCTATTGGTGGGGACGAGGAAAACTGGTGTGGACGAGGATGTCGACGGTGATGGAGAGGCTAACGAGCGACGGGCAGTATTTCCGGTTGTCGGTACCCTTGTCACGAACAAGATGGTGAAGTTCTAGATTTTTAGAGATTTTATGGCTTCATTATGGTGTCCGAGAAAAGGTGTCTCAACCAAAGAGATTGGTGATAAAAGGTATCTAGATTTGTTCACTTTTTATCATATAATTGATAAGCGGCTTGTGTTGGAAAGTGGTACGTGGTTATTTGAACAAAATTTGTTGATTCTTAGGGAGGTTATGCCGAGGGTTATACCCCGGGCCTTAAAATTACTCTAAATGAAGCTGAATTTTGGGTCCCAGTACATAATGTACCATATGGCTATATGACTTTAGGAGTGGCTATGAGGATTGATAATTTTATCGGAAAGTTTATCAGTTTTGCTGAAAGTCATTTTGAAGGAACTTGTGAAGCTTATATGAGAATTAGAGTCTGTATGGAGGTAGAGAAACCTCTAAATGTGGGTACAACTCTTAGGAAAAGGCAAGGAATTGGACACCTGGTGGACTTTAAATATGAAAAACTGTCTAACTTTTGCTTTGTGTGGGGAGTTATGGGACATGCTCACAAGTTTTACCATTTGACATATGAATGTGAAAATAAACTATTGGAGAAATCATTTGGGGTGGGGCTCTAAGCAGGAAGGGGGAAACCTCGCCCTTCAGAGGATAATAAGTGGCTGGTTCAGGGGGATCTTCATCAGCAGGTATGGGTATGTAGCAGCAAGATAATAAGCAAGCCAGAGAGGGTGGAATGGCTAGACGAATGGAGCCAGGGAGACATAATTGGGTCATCACTGTGGCTGATCCCGAGAAGTATGTGGCAGGGGATGCGGCAGCAGCTAGTAAGGAGGAGGTTCCTGGAGACCGAAAACGTAGGAGGTTGTGGAAGGAATAGGAAAACGAGGAACCGGCTGGAGATGGCATGGCTCTGAATGAGTCAAAAACGGGAAGGTGGACTCTGGACACCAGGCCCACCTGGAGGTCTAAGGAAGTTATATGGCAAGGAAGGACAACAATAGCCCCTCGTGGTTCTCGGAATGCATCTTAA